CCCATTAGTCCCATTTGCCTCCAGACTCTCCACAAAGGCACAATTTGCAGCTATAATCAGTTTGGAGACTGCAAAAGTTAGAGTATAAAGAGTATGCTTCTAATTTCCAGCCTTTCATGTTCTCAGAAGAACATGACTTCATTGACTTCCTCCACACTTCCCATGGTCAAAGTTATTGCATCCTTAATGGTCCTGGGAGGAAAGCAAGCCTCCAAAATGATGTGTGCCGGAGTTCTGGTAGAACTTGCCCTCTGGGGTGGGTTCTTTTCTCATCAATGAGAGAGGGTGACGTGAGATGATATCCTGGGTTTCAGTTGGAGAACCTCAGCTGGGTGGCATCGCTGGGTGCAGTGAATATGGACGTTGTGCTTCAGGTATGGGCCTGTTCCCAGGCCTTTGGGTCCTGACTAATATGTCTGAGAAACGTGGGAATGTGCATGAGTCAACCTGGGGTAGATGGAATATGGAGCATTGCAGGTGCGTGGATGTGCCGGGTGTTGGCGGAGCTGGGTGCTGAGGTTGGATCCTTCCTCTGTTCCCTCTAGTGGTTGGCTGGAAGATGTAGTTGAGCATTTCAACATCACAAAATGCTTTGTTTTGTGGGCACAAACTCAGCTGAGGATGGAGTTACGTGAATTGCCATGGGCATGTTTGGACTTCATCACTTACTGGTGCACCTGGTTAAGAAAAAACATGTAGGTTGAGGTCTGAAAAGGAATGTCCTGACACATCATTGTGACCACACAGCCAGTGTGAGTCCTCCATCCTGCCCTCAGTCTTTTTTTCTGATGAACCCTTCTTTAAGGACCATTTCCAGGAAGATGAGGATGCAAATCCAACTACCTGGCTACTGCGATGATAATGCATTTCTTGGAGAACTGTGCAGAGAAAACATGGAAACTGTAGAGGTTTGAAAAGGAGATTTTTTCAGTAATAGATGGACTTGTCACTGATGGATATTTTACTTTCACATCTGTTAATAGGATGAGCACAGAGAAGTGTGAAATGATTCTCTGGAGTGGAACCTGAAACATTCAAGTAAACTGCTCAGATGCTAATGCAGTTCAAGTAGAGATACAGAGATGTGCGGTGCAGTTTGGATGCCATGAAGGGCAGAAGTTCCTCCTCATCCATCTCCCAGCTGCACGCTGCTGCCTCTCCTCTGGTGTCCTTTGATGCCAACGAGCTGATCCAGCAGAAAGCTGCATGGCCAAGAGGTGACTCACCATACCTTGGTGCCTGGTGTCCCTGTGGCTGCACACCATGGGGCCATTTAGTGGCAGCCTGAAGTTCTCATTACCTGGTGCCTGAAATCACAACCTGAGGATGTGGGTTTTTGATGGGCTTGTCCAATTGTAACTGTGGGCTGTAGTGGGAAAGGGTGATCCCATCTTCCCTATGGTTCTGCTCGGAGCTCTCTATCTCATCCCTCCACCCATCATGGTGAATATTGGCTTTGCATAAGTCTGCCTGCTCCAAGTCACTTGGAGTTGGCCGTTTCCAGTAGATCAGATGAGTGACCACCAGAAAAAAACAACTCCTGATTTATTTTGTCTTGAGGGCTGTGTGCTTGGCATGCTTCAAAGCTCTGTGAATTTGTCATAGGATCAGGATCATAATCATTATGTTGGAAAAGACCCTCACGGTCATCAAGTCCAACCATCAACATGACCAGACTCAGTGTCACCCCAGTGCTGAGTGCACTGCAAAACTCCTATCTCCAACTGCAGGCAGACCCTTTCCAGCTATCTCATTTGGGTCAGTGCTGTTCAGGGCTCATTGGCACAAGTTGTGCAATCCAGCTGCTGAACACACCATCAGCCCTCAGGTTTGATCCTTGCACCTCTTCCAGCTGCATTCCCCTCACTGCATCCCCAGGGCATCCTCAGTGACCACATGCATCGAGCTCCCCTTCCTCTCTGCACGAAATAGGACTCACTCGTGTGTTCCAATGCCTGTCTAACCTGACAGATGGCGTCATCACTTCAGGGTGGAAGAGAGACATCGCATGTTTGGACGATGTGTCATCAAGGAAAAGAACAAGCTGATATTTCCGAGTTTAATTTTGCCCTGATTTCATGTCATGGAGATGAGAACAAACTCCGGGGCTGTGTGTGGTGTGCCTGGGGTGACATGCTCCTGGGAAGGGAGTGAGATTGGGAGCTTTTGGAAGAAGATAAAGAGGAAGAATTTAATGAGGAAGAAGTTGTTTTAATTACCCCTCAGTTCTTCTGTAGGCAAATGTGAAACTGGGACTCAACTCTAAAATACAATCATTATAAAGAGACCTTAGCTTGGATTCAGAAAGAATGGCAACGTGGCACATTTGGATGCAGTCCCTTTGTCCACAAGACAGCTTCCTTTTTCTCCAGAGGAGATTGGTGGATTTTGGGAGGATCTCAGTGGGGCTGCCATGCTTGTAATAGCAGCTTCTTTCCTGGAGGTGCACTCTGTGTCTTCCTCCAGTGATGGCATCGAGGAGGAGCAGTTCCTCCATTGGTTTATGTGGGTGAATAAAAGACAAATGTCAGTGCAATTATGTCATTTTGTCACCTTCTTTCCCACCAGCGGTGTGATTTCACATTTTTCAGTTGTTGCTCATTTTTCCTCACACCAAAGAAGGTTTCAGGTGAGGATGTCTGTCAGTCTGAGTATAAAATCACCCATTTCCCTCTGTTCCGCATTCTCTGCTGTTAGGGGAGTTGGGATCACTCATTCCATACATTGCAGCGATTCCTTTGTGCCTCAGTGCTGATGAAACATCATGCCCTGCTGAAATGTAGTTAGGAATGGGAAAGGAGAAAACACCCACCCTGTAGAGCTGGAGGAGGATTGGAGAGGGCTCCCATCCTTGGAGGAGTTCTTGCTTGGGTGCTCTGAGCAGCAACAATGTCCTCGGTGAAGCAAGGTCTTCTCCCAACACCCTCAGTGTGCTGTGCTGGTGTGCACCAGATTGCATCACCTCCCCATGCCCATTATCCAGATTACAGCATGTTCTTCCTTATCAGGGTAGGAAGTGATGGGCAGGAGAAGGGAAGCAGCTGCCACCTTGCTGTGGGCTGTCTTGAGAAGCCTTGATTGCTCTCCATGTTGTGGCTTGCCATCTCTGCTGGCCACAGGGAGCTTTTCTT